CCCATAGGGCCATCCGTTCCGGTCGCCCGGGACCTGCCCTCCCGCCTCCTCAAAATAATTAAAAATGACGTGCGTTGTTAAACACGTGACCAGGTGCCGTATGAATATTCCCCCGTCTAATTACCCTCTGGCAGCGGGCCCCTCCCCTCCCCGCGCCCAGCCTCCCCCTCCTCACCTCGCACGTCACGGCCGGTCACGGCGCATCACGGGCGAGCCTTGTGGTGCAAGCAAGCCCGCCGAACAAGACCATCATTTTTCATAGGTCGTTGTCAGATTTTTGAGTCGCGATTTGTAACCGTGCACGGCCGCGTGTCCGCGCGCACAACCCTTTCGGAACAAGACGTATCGAGTCGCTTCCTCGAGTGCCCCCCCCCCCTCACTCGCGTGCATTTGGACCCTCTCCATTGTCCACGTTTCGTTCCGGGCGCCGTTATAAAGTGCTCCCAACACGGCGGCGTCTTTTTGAAACACGCGCGGCACGCGCCGCCGCGCACAGGTTAGCAACAATGTCGTCCAAAGATCGATTTTATATTTCCCGGGGAAAAGAGTTGAAACCATTATGTGCGCGAGTGGTGTTGTTCGGGGGGTGAGTGAAAAAGAAGAAAGTGGGAGGGTGTGTGTAGTAACCGGTATTCGTACTGTGTGTGTGTGTGTGTGTGTGTGTGTGTGTGTGTGTGTGTGTGTGTGTGTTGTTTGGAAGGGAGCGGACAGACTGGCCAATATCAGAAAATGAACTCGTAATCACTCAATGAGCGAGCAGAGCTGCCAACCCTCACACCTAGCACACACACGGGGGCCGCGGGCCCCGCCCCGGGCTGACAACAGGACGCATTCCCACAAACCGTATTGTTCTACTGCTGTGTGTCTCGTATTTTGTTTGATTCGCTGTCGTCCGTCTGTTATGTGTGTCTCCCCCCTCAACAGGGAAGTCCCCTCCCCACTCCCTAAAAAAAAATCTTTTCAGTTTCTTTTGTGAGATTTGCATTTTGCGAACTTGTATTTTTCTGGCAATATAAATACGCACGCCGAATGAAAAAAAATAAAATAAAACTCCTCATTCAAGTAAATTTTGCACAAAAATTGCTCCAAAAGACGTTTAGGATCAGCGAGAGGATCAGTGACATCCACTTCTTATACAAATTTATTTTTGCCAATGTGAGCAGTTCGCTGTGTAGTGGGCTCGGAGCAATGCCCGGAATGCCCGGGGCCGAGTTGACGCCCGGGTGATTGACATGTCTCATTTCCGGGTGAGTTTTTATTAATTCTCTGCCCGGCAAACAGAAAGACGCACACGTGACCGCGCGGAGGGGAGCGCGAGTGAAAGGGAGTGTGACCGGGTGACCGGGGGTGGGTGGGGGCAGTGAAAGGCGTCCAGCCGAGAGCCGTCGGCCGTCCACAGCGAATCAACGTTATTGCACTGTATTCCCCGTACCACTGTACCCCTTAGCAGCTCCACTGTTTCCCGACCCGAGAGAGCCTCCCCGTACCCCAGGTGCCGGAGGCAGCTGTTTACTGAATCTCTTGTTCTTTTTTTTTACGGCGAGGCGGTGCGGGCTCCGCCGCCCCGACCATCGCGGGGCCCGCGGGGCTGCGGGGCTCAGCTGATGTGATGACACATTCAGAAGTCCAGCCGATCGAGCCGAGCGCTCGCGTTAGTTCCGCTGACGAACGCCCTGCCGCGCTGGGGAGCGCCACCGGCGCTAATCCCACATGCCATTCTATTGCATTAAGCAGACGATTCTTTTATCCTCTCTCTTTCACTCTGAGCCTCACACACACCCTCTCACTCTCCTCTCCCTTTTTTTTCCCCCCCCCCCCTCTCTCCCTTCGTCACTCGCCCATTTTTTACTCCCGTTTGTTGGTACTCACGTGAAATTAAATTATTTGGAGGGGCGGCAGGCGGCGCGGGGGGCGTGCGTGCGGACCAATCGGGGGGAAGGGGGGTTGGGGCGTTAAAGGGTTGGCCGCGATTACAATCATCATTTCACGACACCAGCGAAGCCGAGGGAGTTGGGGCGGGGGAGGAGGGAGGGCGTCATCAAACGCGCAGCTCCGAAGCTGTTGCTGCGTTTGATGGAATACTATAGTGGTCCCAGAGATGGTATGAGCTAGTGCTACAGGGTGGGCGGCCTGGGCCAGCGGCCAGCGCGCGGACACCATCACGCACCCGTTCAGATCCACCCCACCCCGCGTCTCCCCGCGCCCTACGCGGAGACAGGGTTGGGCTGATCTACCTTTGTGCTGCTCCTTTAAAAGCTTCCGCCCGTGCTTTCTGAATCGCGACCTTTGCGGGGCTGGTCAGCTCATTCCTTCGTCTAAGGATTCGCCGTGGTTCCAGTGGCCGAGGTAGGCTATCCGTCCGTCGCGTTGTTGGCGCCACATGTGTCTCACACTCAACATCGCCGCTAATCTCACACATCGCCGCCCCGGATGGGGCGAGCGAGCTCCGGTCGCCCGGGACCTGCCCTCCCGCCTCCTCAAAATAATTAAAAATGACGTGCGTTGTTAAACACGTGACCAGGTGCCGTATGAATATTCCCCCGTCTAATTACCCTCTGGCAGCGGGCCCCTCCCCTCCCCGCGCCCAGCCTCCCCCTCCTCACCTCGCACGTCACGGCCGGTCACGGCGCATCACGGGCGAGCCTTGTGGTGCAAGCAAGCCCGCCGAACAAGACCATCATTTTTCATAGGTCGTTGTCAGATTTTTGAGTCGCGATTTGTAACCGTGCACGGCCGCGTGTCCGCGCGCACAACCCTTTCGGAACAAGACGTATCGAGTCGCTTCCTCGAGTGCCCCCCCCCCCTCACTCGCGTGCATTTGGACCCTCTCCATTGTCCACGTTTCGTTCCGGGCGCCGTTATAAAGTGCTCCCAACACGGCGGCGTCTTTTTGAAACACGCGCGGCACGCGCCGCCGCGCACAGGTTAGCAACAATGTCGTCCAAAGATCGATTTTATATTTCCCGGGAAAAAGAGTTGAAACCATTATGTGCGCGAGTGGTGTTGTTCGGGGGGTGAGTGAAAAAGAAGAAAGTGGGAGGGTGTGTGTAGTAACCGGTATTCGTACTGTGTGTGTGTGTGTGTGTGTGTGTGTGTGTGTGTGTGTGTGTGTGTGTGTTGTTTGGAAGGGAGCGGACAGACTGGCCAATATCAGAAAATGAACTCGTAATCACTCAATGAGCGAGCAGAGCTGCCAACCCTCACACCTAGCACACACACGGGGGCCGCGGGCCCCGCCCCGGGCTGACAACAGGACGCATTCCCACAAACCGTATTGTTCTACTGCTGTGTGTCTCGTATTTTGTTTGATTCGCTGTCGTCCGTCTGTTATGTGTGTCTCCCCCCTCAACAGGGAAGTCCCCTCCCCACTCCCTAAAAAAAAATCTTTTCAGTTTCTTTTGTGAGATTTGCATTTTGCGAACTTGTATTTTTCTGGCAATATAAATACGCACGCCGAATGAAAAAAAATAAAATAAAACTCCTCATTCAAGTAAATTTTGCACAAAAATTGCTCCAAAAGACGTTTAGGATCAGCGAGAGGATCAGTGACATCCACTTCTTATACAAATTTATTTTTGCCAATGTGAGCAGTTCGCTGTGTAGTGGGCTCGGAGCAATGCCCGGAATGCCCGGGGCCGAGTTGACGCCCGGGTGATTGACATGTCTCATTTCCGGGTGAGTTTTTATTAATTCTCTGCCCGGCAAACAGAAAGACGCACACGTGACCGCGCGGAGGGGAGCGCGAGTGAAAGGGAGTGTGACCGGGTGACCGGGGGTGGGTGGGGGCAGTGAAAGGCGTCCAGCCGAGAGCCGTCGGCCGTCCACAGCGAATCAACGTTATTGCACTGTATTCCCCGTACCACTGTACCCCTTAGCAGCTCCACTGTTTCCCGACCCGAGAGAGCCTCCCCGTACCCCAGGTGCCGGAGGCAGCTGTTTACTGAATCTCTTGTTCTTTTTTTTTACGGCGAGGCGGTGCGGGCTCCGCCGCCCCGACCATCGCGGGGCCCGCGGGGCTGCGGGGCTCAGCTGATGTGATGACACATTCAGAAGTCCAGCCGATCGAGCCGAGCGCTCGCGTTAGTTCCGCTGACGAACGCCCTGCCGCGCTGGGGAGCGCCACCGGCGCTAATCCCACATGCCATTCTATTGCATTAAGCAGACGATTCTTTTATCCTCTCTCTTTCACTCTGAGCCTCACACACACCCTCTCACTCTCCTCTCCCTTTTTTTTCCCCCCCCCCCCTCTCTCCCTTCGTCACTCGCCCATTTTTTACTCCCGTTTGTTGGTACTCACGTGAAATTAAATTATTTGGAGGGGCGGCAGGCGGCGCGGGGGGCGTGCGTGCGGACCAATCGGGGGGAAGGGGGGTTGGGGCGTTAAAGGGTTGGCCGCGATTACAATCATCATTTCACGACACCAGCGAAGCCGAGGGAGTTGGGGCGGGGGAGGAGGGAGGGCGTCATCAAACGCGCAGCTCCGAAGCTGTTGCTGCGTTTGATGGAATACTATAGTGGTCCCAGAGATGGTATGAGCTAGTGCTACAGGGTGGGCGGCCTGGGCCAGCGGCCAGCGCGCGGACACCATCACGCACCCGTTCAGATCCACCCCACCCCGCGTCTCCCCGCGCCCTACGCGGAGACAGGGTTGGGCTGATCTACCTTTGTGCTGCTCCTTTAAAAGCTTCCGCCCGTGCTTTCTGAATCGCGACCTTTGCGGGGCTGGTCAGCTCATTCCTTCGTCTAAGGATTCGCCGTGGTTCCAGTGGCCGAGGTAGGCTATCCGTCCGTCGCGTTGTTGGCGCCACATGTGTCTCACACTCAACATCGCCGCTAATCTCACACATCGGCGCCCCGGATGGGGCGAGCGAGCGATCATGCTGCCCCTTCCCCCTTCCCATCCCCTCCCACACCCCACCACCCCTTCATAATCACAATATATCGCGCGTACTGACCCCCCCCGCCCCACCCGCTCATCTCCCAGTCATGATGTGCGCTCAATTTTATTTTCTGTAAAGCAGCATAAGATTTGAATCTTTTCTCTCGATAGTCGCCACGAATCAAGGTAGGATATTCTACCTCTGATATTCTGTGTTGGCATCACTGGACCTTGACGCTGGACGCTGGACTGGGCCCGGAAACAGACAGTTTCTTGTGGATCGGCGTCGTTACGCTGTGCTGCAAGCCTCTCGTGGACGTGGATTCTTGACCGGATCACAATCCGTTTTTTTCGAGGTGAACTTTTAAACATATCTTGAATGAGTTTTCCTATTGCAAATCAGAGCATCAAAGATTTTCAATCGTGTTTCAGGAAGCCAGTGGTCCAGTTGAAAGAGTCGTCTCGTTTTTGCTGCCTTTGTCGTATCATGGAAGTGATGGAAGTTAGCAAGGTAAGTTTCATTTGACGCGTCGTATCAATTGAAAGTGATGATACCCGTCACAAGCAAATGTCTTGTAGACTATGGAAGGTTACCTGCAACGACAAAGTGATAAAAAAAAGTATATGGCATTGGCAGAATGAGAATGAGAATGAGTTTTAGAGGTTAGGGTTCTATGGTGCTACATGATTGAGCCTGCTGGAGTGTTTGCATGTTCTGTTTCATTTCGAACGTCAACGACTCTCTTCACTCAGTTAACTTGGCTGAGTGATGGTTTAATCTAGCATTCATGCATCATAACATGAACGTAAATCAAAGTCCCTGTTCACATTGAACAATGTTTCAGACACTGTATTTTCTTAACACTTGAGTTATTTTCTTACATTTTCCTTCGTTATAGTTTTATATTTTGATTGGTGTTCAGATATCACCAACCCCATTTTTAAGTTCATCTCCATCGCCTTTGCACAAACCGTATTGTTCTACTGCTGTGTGTCTCGTATTTTGTTTGATTCGCTGTCGTCCGTCTGTTATGTGTGTCTCCCCCCTCAACAGGGAAGTCCCCTCCCCACTCCCTAAAAAAAAATCTTTTCAGTTTCTTTTGTGAGATTTGCATTTTGCGAACTTGTATTTTTCTGGCAATATAAATACGCACGCCGAATGAAAAAAAATAAAATAAAACTCCTCATTCAAGTAAATTTTGCACAAAAATTGCTCCAAAAGACGTTTAGGATCAGCGAGAGGATCAGTGACATCCACTTCTTATACAAATTTATTTTTGCCAATGTGAGCAGTTCGCTGTGTAGTGGGCTCGGAGCAATGCCCGGAATGCCCGGGGCCGAGTTGACGCCCGGGTGATTGACATGTCTCATTTCCGGGTGAGTTTTTATTAATTCTCTGCCCGGCAAACAGAAAGACGCACACGTGACCGCGCGGAGGGGAGCGCGAGTGAAAGGGAGTGTGACCGGGTGACCGGGGGTGGGTGGGGGCAGTGAAAGGCGTCCAGCCGAGAGCCGTCGGCCGTCCACAGCGAATCAACGTTATTGCACTGTATTCCCCGTACCACTGTACCCCTTAGCAGCTCCACTGTTTCCCGACCCGAGAGAGCCTCCCCGTACCCCAGGTGCCGGAGGCAGCTGTTTACTGAATCTCTTGTTCTTTTTTTTTACGGCGAGGCGGTGCGGGCTCCGCCGCCCCGACCATCGCGGGGCCCGCGGGGCTGCGGGGCTCAGCTGATGTGATGACACATTCAGAAGTCCAGCCGATCGAGCCGAGCGCTCGCGTTAGTTCCGCTGACGAACGCCCTGCCGCGCTGGGGAGCGCCACCGGCGCTAATCCCACATGCCATTCTATTGCATTAAGCAGACGATTCTTTTATCCTCTCTCTTTCACTCTGAGCCTCACACACACCCTCTCACTCTCCTCTCCCTTTTTTTTCACCCCCCCCCCTCTCTCCCTTCGTCACTCGCCCATTTTTTACTCCCGTTTGTTGGTACTCACGTGAAATTAAATTATTTGGAGGGGCGGCAGGCGGCGCGGGGGGCGTGCGTGCGGACCAATCGGGGGGAAGGGGGGTTGGGGCGTTAAAGGGTTGGCCGCGATTACAATCATCATTTCACGACACCAGCGAAGCCGAGGGAGTTGGGGCGGGGGAGGAGGGAGGGCGTCATCAAACGCGCAGCTCCGAAGCTGTTGCTGCGTTTGATGGAATACTATAGTGGTCCCAGAGATGGTATGAGCTAGTGCTACAGGGTGGGCGGCCTGGGCCAGCGGCCAGCGCGCGGACACCATCACGCACCCGTTCAGATCCACCCCACCCCGCGTCTCCCCGCGCCCTACGCGGAGGCAGGGTTGGGTTGATCTACCTTTGTGCTGCTCCTTTAAAAGCTTCCGCCCGTGCTTTCTGAATCGCGACCTTTGCGGGGCTGGTCAGCTCATTCCTTCGTCTAAGGATTCGCCGTGGTTCCAGTGGCCGAGGTAGGCTATCCGTCCGTGGCGTTGTTGGCGCCACATGTGTCTCACACTCAACATCGCCGCTAATCTCACACATCGGCGCCCCGGATGGGGCGAGCGAGCGATCATGCTGCCCCT